GCCGTTATTGTTATGTCTTGACTGTGCAATAAAACAAACAAACTGGCGAAGCTTTATTTATTGTGTCCCACCCCAAATTTGCAGAATAGAAGAATGTGAGAGCAGACAGGTGTCGGTGGTTGAATTTATCTACAATGTTGCAACCTTGTGCAGCAATGGCAGTGGCAGAAAAGTCTTACACACATAAACACAAGTAATTTATCATGTCATTTGTTTTAGATAATTAAGGGAAAAACACCAAACAACGGTTAATGTCCTTTTCCAAAATCAGCCTGAGGGGGTAATATATAATAAATACATAAAGATAAAGTCCATTGTTATAATGGGGTATTTTATTTGTAAATGACCCTTGTTGGTTTGAGTCATTTGAGCTTGTATCTTAGGAAGATATGAACTTCATCTTGGTGAAGTTGATGCTGAATTCACTATTTAGTAGATAATCATGTGACACTTTATCTTTGCACTACGGTCTGTCTGCTGAGCCTACCTAAGCCTACCTATTATATATATATATATATATCATGTACAGCGGGTGGGATTTATACCCCCTCCCTGTGTAGTTCTTCTTCTCTCGTTTTTTTTTGTACTCGCCGTGAAGTGGTTTTGCGGCCTGCCAGTAAACCCAGAGAAGAAGAAGACGAAGTGACGTCAGCGTAATCTTGCCTCAAGGAAAGTACTGCGGTGTGAATGCGATTGGCACTAGCCCCCTGGCGGATTCAGTGCCGTGGTACTTTAGTGCCGGCACTAAAGTACGGCAAGTCCTGCGGTGTGAAAGCGGCTAAGAAGTCACACGATAGCGTCTCAAATGTTCTGGCTTTATTCACAATCTTTAAATATATGTCTATCCCTCAAAATAACATATTTCTTTATGTTTCTCAGGCACATTAGTTTATTCACATTACTTAAATGCCATATCAAATTAACTAAAACAATAAATAGAAATAGAAATACAGGTGTAATATTTATTTATTTTTTACACAATAATACCACTACGATAACTACATTATCTGTATATTCTGCATTATACCTTACATGTTACTATACATGCTCTAAATGAGCTATTCACAACCTGATTAATTACTCATTCAAGTTAATCACATGTTAAAATATAACAAACACATTCCTTATATAACTACACAGAATAACAAGAACACAATAACTAATCCTAATAACTTATCAAACATTTACAATTAGCCTTAGCAAGGTGCTTAGTTAACCACAATAGCATTTTGCATGAATATAACACACTACTAGCATGGCTAGGCCACTTCTGTAATGAATTCATGTGGTAATGATAACTCTCCATTAAAATTGTTTAAACTCTTCTACAAATATTTCTCTGAAGCACACACATTAAAGTACAACAGAAGGCATTATCTCGTTACATCACGACAGTGTATTGAAAATAACCAAAAATGTAATAGTAGGGGTGTCTGTTTTAACTAACTTATGCATTACATGCCTCATATTTTACATTCTGGTACACTTATACTTTTGTAATTTCACTTAAGTAACATTTAGAATGCAATACTTGTAAAAAAGTATTCCTAAACTGTAGTACTACTTTTAATTAAGTTCATGATATTCTCCCACCTCTGTCTTTGTAACACTTCAAGGTGTACTTAAAGGATCTTGTGACTCCACTCTTCCTATACTTCAAAAACATGACATCAGACTTGAACTGTGTTCCTGATGGACACACTGACCAGTGAGCATAAAAACCTGGATAAAATAAAGAAATATACACATTTAAGTATATACAATATTGTCCAAAAATGTGACAGCTTAACCATGTTTGTCCCTACCTGTAGGTATAACCAGGTGAATGCCATCCGCACGGCCTGTAAGACGGGAGTGACAGAGTGCCGGACCCTGACAACCGAATGGTTCAAACAATGGATGGAAGCCCCTCAACACAATTTGTTGGTCTATATTATATATCATTTGATAACTTTTTTAAGTTAATAATTTAAGTAACACAAACTGTCTTATCAGGATCCATCCCAACCTGCGCTCAGTGGTGTACTGCAGTGCCATGGAGGCAGGAGAGGAGGCAGAGTGGGAGTTTGGCTGGTCTCAGTTCAGGAATGCTTCTGTAGCCAGCGAGGCAAGCAAACTCATGTCTGCTCTGGCCTGCACCAGCGATGTTAGCCTGCTGAAAAGGTGTGTATCCATACAACTTTTCCACAGATGAAAAGAGTAACAAAGTGATTTATAATGAAGTTCCACGATCTCTCTTAGCTTCTTTTAGTAAAATGTATAAACAAAATAGGGAAAATAAAAAGATTAAAGCAAAGGACATGTTGTCTCCCCTTTGCAGCACATACCACAACAACAGCAAACAATTTATATACATACATACAGTGTTCGAATTACCCATTTTGCTTTTTCAGGGCCCTCGTGTGGAGCTGTCAAGCTCGACCCTAACGCCGCTTACAGCCGGCCAACTAAAAGTTGTTCCATTCACGTTGTCATTTTTAGAGTCCTCCGCTTCTTTGCTTGTGAATCCAAAAGCTGCGAGGCTTGGCTGTTTTCATTTGACCATATTTTTTATTACAAAGCCAGAGTTAAAAAAATATCAATATGAACATTTCAAATACCGCGCCGGCATCGCCGCCGTAACCATAGCAACGTAAGTAGCGTAAAGAATGCACGTACAGATGGCAACACCCAGAAATGTTCACAAATATAAAACAAATATTCAGAAACTGTAATGAATAATGACTATTATTTATTTCAAGAACTTTTATTTACAGGAACTCAACATTTCTAATCTGTGTGACACAAATATGCACGATTGTTTTGGGCTCCCCCTATTTATCTCAAAGTCAGCCTTCAGGGTAGCTCCGCCCCTCTTTAGGGGAGCCAAAGCTCCCCCTAGCTCCCCCCATTTCGATCAGTGCATACATATTAAACAGAGGGAAGAAAAAGTACAACTGAGGGTCTCACACATTTGAAGACCCCTCGTGTTGCGATGCCAGTTGCAGGCAGGTGAGAAGAGATTAATGGGCAAGTGTTTGGATACAAGCACTTCTTGACAAAAGAATAATAACATTGATTTAAGACAAAGGATACGTGTTAATCGAGGACTTTACTTCCCCTCTTCAGTAACTTTTTTCAAAGGTCCCCTATTATACTTTTTTTCAACAATATATTATAGGTCTCAGATATATACAAACATGTCTCTGAAGTCTTTGGCTGAAACACCAAACAGATAATTGTAGTATCCCATAATCCCCTCTGTTTCAGCCCTGTTTCAAAAGTGCTAATTCTCTGTCTGTAGCTTTAAATGCTAATGAGCTGCTGCTGGCCACGCCCCTCTGCAAAGTGATTGGTTAAAAAACATAATGGTGCCCTAGGAGGAGATTCAGGTGATAAGGTGGGCGGGGGATACCTTGGTTGGTTATTGGCTAATGGTTACACAAGCCAAAAAAACTGATCAGCTCATTTTCATACAGGTTTTTAAATAGGTGGATCAGGAGAAAAATAGAGAGAACATATTTTTTCCTGACACTATCTGAATCTCTATTACACACGCTGGGGACATATATTTATCTAAAGAAGATTTGAAAACGTGAATTTTGCATAATAGAGGACCCCAGAGAAACAATAGGGAGAAAACAGAGAAAAGCTTTGGGAGTTTAGGTGCCTGCTACAACAGTTTACCATTGCAAGCTTTGCGGGTAATCACTTCACCACCAAGCTTCTGGCCCCCACCTATTCACATGTATGAATGAATGTCACTTTGTGGTGTGACTGTGAAAGCTCAAACTCAAAACAAGATTAGTAATGAGAGCGAGCAGAGAGCAGCACTACTGCTTACTTTTTTTAGTGCAAAAAATGAAAGAAAGGAACGCCATGTTGAAAATTATCTAATATACCATTGTTGTTCTTAAAATACCCTTTATTGACTATACATGATTTTTCTATGACTTGTTTTAAAGAGAATAACCAGACAGCCAGTCTCTCAACCTTGTAATGCTTTTGATTAGATGAGAATGTGCCAGTCGAAAGAGATTTGTTTAAAATGCAACTATTTTGTTTTTTAGGTATTTGTCTTATACCTTGAACTCAACTATGATCCGTAAGCAGGATGCTACCTCGGTCATCACATCCGTGGCCAGCAACTGTGTGGGACAGGTTCTGGCATGGGACTTTGTCAGGGAACATTGGGAATACATGTTCACACAGTGAGTAGCACACTCATATACGTTCATCTGTATGTGACAAAAAACAGAGAGATAACATACTAAACCGACAAAACTGTCCATGGAGTCTTCAGGCGGGTAACAATGTAGCTTTGAGTGTAAGTGAGTCTGACATTATATACGGGGAAATCACTCCTTTTGTCAGATTTGTGATTTTAGAAACATTGACTATATTCCCAGGTAAACTTGACAAAGTTACTTTGTTATTTACAAAATTCAATGATGAATTCAAAAGTAGTTTATTTCGATTGTATTGCTATATGAACAAAAGTGCAATAACATTTGGTTTGTGAACACTTTAAACAATAAGTTGCTTTTTAACAGCATTATTCCCTTTACACAGTAGCAGTTCAAATATTTTCCTCACTTCCAGGGCATTACGTTTTATCTAGTTTGTTATAGAAGTTACCCTCAGAGTCCAGTGATAAGAAAATTCAACTTTGCATTGGTTACAATAACTCTGGTTCTATCAACTCCTCCCTCTGAAGAGATGTAAAATGTCCATGTAAGAGTTTGGTACCTTCCTCCATGTTTCTGTCCCGCCACTTCTTTCTGTTTCCGTTCATGAGCGCTGCAGCAGTCTTAGGCCCGCCCCCTATGCTCTCATTGGTTGTGACGTGTCTGTATTAACCCTTTTCCACCAAACAAGTTCCAGTTCTAGCTCCATGCTTTTCTGTGTCCGAACCGGTTATTATTTTTAGGCCCAGTTGTGTTTCCACCGCTCAGAGCCCGACTGGTGACATCACGTTTACGTCTCTGATTTTCTCAGAAACGCCGCTCACAACAACAACAATGAGGTACTGCGTCGGGTCGATGACCGTGTTGCTTTTAATCATACGAAGCCGGATTAGATTAAAAAACTACTTCTCCAACCTTATACTTTTCTCCAGAGTGCCGTGGTTCATTATTTACTAATGTGGTTCAGCGGCATTTACCGACCGCAGTGCTGCTCGTCCACCGGAGTTTAGTCTACCGTTTACTCACGGCAGAGTTTAGTCTCCCGTTAACTCACGGCAGCGGCCGCTGAAAAGTATTCACTGTCTGACTGTCACACAAGCAGCTGATAAATATCCCCCATCCCCATCAGTGAATGTGTTTCAGTGTGAATTGAAGCTGTTTGGCATCACAGCGCTGTTATGCAAGTTTCTGTGGTATAAGACGTTTTCTACAGGCAAATTTGAACCTACCTGTGATAGTCGGACATGGCAACCTGTGTAGCCCATGTATTGATTCTATCCGATAGCTGCTATAATACAAAACAACAGGAACACGTCTGCCTGCTCTTCATAGTGATAAATAACAGCGAACGGATGGTCAAAGTAAGGTCAAAATAAACAGAATCACACTAAGCCTGGTTAGTGTTGCCTGACTTTATAAAATATGTTAAAGTGTGTGTAAACCTAAGAACCAGTTTTCGGTGCTTAGAGCCGGCCCCACTGCAGTGGAAACAGGAAGAACCAGAACCAGAAAAGGGGCATGAGTTTATTCAGAGCCCGTGAGCAACAGAACTTTCGGAAGAATAATATTAATTAAAGTAACTGTTAATACACAATAAAATAATTGTCGTTGTTAATTAATTAATGCGTTAACGCGACAATAACGCGTTAACTTGCCCAGCCAATACAGTCAGGTTTGGCAGGCCCTTCAGAACATTTCCAACTACAGGGGCTGTGACATGTCAACTGGGGACTCATGTCTGTCACTGGCAGAGGAGCTGAACTCCTTTTTTGCTGGCTTCAAGACACCACAGCATTACTCGCTCACTGTAGAAGAGCACTATGTGAGACGGGTGCTCAGAGCAGTGAACCCCAGGAAGGCTGCTGGGCTTGATGGAGTACGGGAAGGTGCTCAGAGCATGGGCCAACCAGCTCTCACAGGTCTTCACCAGCATTTTTGTCATCAAGGAAAGTCCCGTGTATGGTTCTGTGTTGTAAAAACAGAACCATGCACGGGACTTGCTTCACCGACAGGAGTGAGACGGATCAGATGGGGCCCCCTTAGGGAGGTCTCCTACTGTCATTTCAAACATTGCGCACTGCCCCACTATTGTAGATTAACTGAATTTGATCCAGGCTTATGGCAATGTATGATGTCTGTTTAATTGCATTTTTTCAGTTCTTGTGAACTTTGCATCAACAAGAAAAATGACATTGACACTGCTGTCATTTAAAGTTGTGTCGTACCTCGGGGGCCCCCTACTTGTCTGGGGCCCCAAGCATTTGCCTGCCTTGCCTGTCCTTGCCTTGCCTTACATCACATTAAGACCTGCCTGTTACGATTATTGTGTTAGGTCACATTTTGTATGTCTTGTTTTGGGTGTTTTGGTGTTCTCCCTTTCATGTTTTCCATTGGTATATTGTCTGGTCCTTTTCCCTGTGTTTTTCCTCCTGTCGTTAGTTTCCCTGGTGTGTCTAGTTGTCTGATTGTGTTCACCTGTGGCCCTTGTGTTTCTCCTCCCCTGCCGGCTGTTTCTCGTCTTGTGATTACCCCTCCCTGTATTTAGTCTTGTCTCTTCCTGTGTTCAGTGTTGGTTCGTCTTTTGTTTGTGAATGAGTTCACCGGTGAGTGTTCTGTTATTTTTCTTTTTATCCTTGAAATAAAGGTTAATCAGAGTTATCTGCATTTGGGTCCTGCTTCTTTCACTCAACCGTAACAGTACGAACCAACCAAAATATGGGCCCAGCAGATCCTTTTGAGCAGGAATTGTTGGATTTTTCCTTTTCTTTGGCTACCTGCTCTGATCAATGGATGGGAGCATCCGGGGTTCAGCAGCGAGAGGCTGCTCTGACAGAGGCGCGCCAGATAACAATGGAGATACCAGGCTTGGTGAGATTCTTACCTGGCTGGATTTTGGAGT